AAAAATAGATAGGAAGTCATTAGCGCACGTACAAAAAAAAAATGGGGGTAAGTGTGTACTTGACCCCCAGTATTTTGAATATTTGACAGTTATTTTCTGTTTTGTTTTCCTCACACGATGTAACTCTTTGTGCTGAAGTGATGTACCAATTTCGAGATTGATATCTTATTAATTACGCGAGTAATTAGAAAAAAACAGTTTTTAATTTCCAACTTTGACACCCTGTATTACGAATAAGAAGGGCTAAAATGAAAAATGGTATATAGAAACTCATATTATTTTTGTTCAAGGAATATATGGTTAATGGATTGACCTCCTTTTAGCGGACACCCTGTATAGATCTAATTGAACAATGATGAGTGTCAATTTAATGGACAAGAGAGGAATATTCAAGTTCACGAGTGTCAGTAAACACTAGTATGAATTCAATTTCAATTGTTTGTGAATTGAGTTATCTGAATTGATATTTTATTAAAATTTCAGGAATATAGAGTGAATTCAATACGAGAATAGTGAAAATTCAATGTAGAATTAGTTTCAAAGGAGATCATCTGTGAGAAGTGTACTAATAGAGTTGATTGCAATATTAGAGTGAGTTTGTCAGAGTATTTCAACTCTAAAAACATACTCTACGGATTTCACTCGAAGCGGTTTTTTACTGTGATAATTCCATTATCAGGTTCTTCCTGGAGAGCTGATTGCATTGATCTAAAATACTTGGGGTCCAATAATAATAATTACACAGTTATATAGGATGTGGAAAATCGAGATTTTTCAACTTTAGAAATTTTTTGTGTCGAAACTATTCATAATTGGTCGAAACGGTTTCCATGTCTCCATCTTAACTTTTCACGTACCAATCAATTCATTTCACACCCTATATCTTTATTATCATTCCCGCTCTACACCAAGTGTGATAGATCGATGAAATCAGCCCTTCAGAAAGAATCCGAAAACTATATGATATACAGGGAGTCTTATAGGAAGAATAAAAATTGTTTCTACTTTTCAATATTAGCGGCAACGTCGCAGCGCTGAGAATATTTCAGGTCGATAGAACACAAATTATTCAAGGCACCAACTTTTCATAATAATCCTGGGTTGCGTTCTCCAGAAACGTCTAATTTGTCATCCACCGTGAATCAGCCTGTATACATATTTCCTATCAAACTTTCATTCATATTTTTCCTCACTGGATCAGCGCGTCCACTCCTCCCTGGCTACGACCATGGAGTGTGATAGAGATAGAAGTTCAGATAATGCACCGTCGCACCCATTGAGCATATGCATGGAAACTTCGAACGTAAATATCTTCGTAATCATTTGAATTAACCCAATCAAACTCTTTGTCGTTGAATTCGTTAAAATATTTCCTGGCCGATTATAATAATAATATTCATTTGCATTAAACAAAAAAAACATGTTTACTGCAACTTAAAATACAATGATGCAAAATGGAGCTGAAAACAATTTGGAAAAGTTCTAGTTCAGCCCCAGAGTAAGAAAAACAATTATAATCTGAACTGTTCGTCAAGTTGATAACGGATTAAAAGATAAAAAAAAGCACAGCTTTGATGCTCGTGAGAAGAGTTATATATATGTAGCCAAAAGACTTTCTCTGACTTTCTTTTTGAATGTCAATGACTTCATCTGCTTGAGTAGAGGTTGTGATTCATTAAACATTTTGTAAATATTGTAAGAGAAGCTTCTTTGGAATAAGGTGGTTCTATAAGGTGGAAGAGTGATGCGACCCCTATGCCGTAAATTCAGATTGTGAACATCAGTTCTATATGTTATTTTATCATACAGATATGGAGGACTCTGTTTATGAATTATAGAGTGTGACAGAACTAGGAAGTGAAGTTTCCGCCGAACTTGCATTTTCAACCACTTCGAGTGTTTCAACATGTACGATACTGGATCATACTTGCGGATTCCAAAGATGAATCTGAGACAGGATTTCTGTACTTTCTCCACACGATTTATGTCACCCTTGTCCAGACAAGGTCCATATAATACATCGCAAAAGTTGAAATAACTTAGAACCAGCATATCACTTTACATCCTTTTGGTTGTAGTTGATAGCAAGTGTCTATGAGGATAGAGCATTTTCAAGGAACAATATGCTTTTTGAATACAATAACTAATATGCTTTTTGAAACGAAGATCTACATCCAGATACGAACCCAAATTTTTACATTTTCAACAAAGGACAATTCTTCACCTTGAACTTGTATATTCATGACAGATTCGATGTATTGTTTGTTTTTACCAAAAATCATGACATTTGATTTCATTGCATTGATTTTTAAGGAATGCAGTGTCGATGGCTTCACTAGCCGATCCAGGTCTTCTATTATTGCCTGTTGCGCCAATAGCCAATCATCAGGAAAGAATGAGTGATATAGCTGTGTGTCATCAGCATAAAAGTGAGATACAAGTCTTTATACCTGATAAAAAGTTATTAGTGTATATACTGAACAACAATGGACCTAGTATAGATCCCTGGGGAACACCACAAGTCACATTTTCCCTCCCAGACTGTCCGACAGTTGTTTCCACGAATTGGCACCTATTTTGTGTATAGTTAGCCATGAGTTGGACTGCATTTGCTGAAAAACCTACAAAATGAAGGATGGAGAGCAAAACCTGGTGGTTAATGGTATCAAACGCCTTAGAATAATCTAAAAGAATCAGCACTGTTGTTTTACCCGCATCTGTAGCCCTTAAGATATCATCAACAATATTAACTAAAGCTGTCGTACAACTGAATCCCGGTCGGAACCCTGATTGAACAGACGGTAATATGGAATATTTTTCAAGATGAAGTCTTATCTGATTGTTCATGATTTTCTAGATAACTTTCGACATACATGGTAATATACTTATTGGTCTGAGATCATTGTAACTCAGTACCTCACTTTTTTTGGGAAACGCAGTTATTCTTGATACTTTCCATACATCGGGAAATATATTTTCTAGCAAACAAGTGTTTACAATATTTGTCAAAACAGGTAGAATTGTCGGACAACAAAGTAATATCATTTCTAAATTAATTAAGTCAGGACCTGAAGCTAATGACTTCACTTCTGATAAAGATTCATAAACTTCTTCCATGGTGACAGTTTTGAATTCGAAGAGTTCCTCAAAAAGACATTTCTTATTCTGATTATAGTAATTGGAATGAAATACAGGGTGTTCCGTATGAAAACCAAGTGAATGAAAAAAGATTCTTCAAATGTGATGAAGTACCCTCTAGTGAGCATATTGACCATTCTAGAACACGTGATTTTGACATGGTTCCGTGAGGGGCACACAAACTATCTGTTAGGTTAGGTACCTTTGATGAGCATAGCCCTGATGCCCATCCCAGCCACATCCACAATATACCAAACAAAAGTATGAAATTCTTTCGGGTTCTAACTCGGATTCCAAGGAAAACGATCCCACTAATTCTGGTTTCATATGACGAATCTTGACTACATACAATGTTTGCCCCTCAGCAACCTGTCAAATGACGTAATTCTGGAATGATTAATTCGATGATTTGCATTTCAGAAATATAGATGAAAAACAAAGGAGAAAACGAGGAAATACCGCATGAGTCTGTGTCATCCGGTATGGATTAATTCATTTTATGCCATATTATACCTGTGTAATGTAATTTTTTTTAATATAAATGATACTTTGGCTTCATCAATCGTATTAACATAGCGAATCAATCACATTCCACCTTACTTTTCCATCGGTATCTTGATTCGATCAGTATACTCATTGATTATGTTGGTTCTTACCTTCTGCATCTTCTGCATGTGAACGATTTATTTCTTTCAAATCTGCTATTGGGTCTCTTCCGGAAATTTTTGCTGCTACTTTTCCATTCTGCATTATAAGTTTATAAAATCAGTTCAATATGAAGATTCATTTCAGCTGGTAACTATCGGTTTAATGAATTTAATCGAGTTGATGTGACTTTTTTTCACAAAAATGGAATCATTCGAATCGATTTGAATAGGACTTTGTCCGCATTTTAGATACAGATCATAATTACTTACTTGTGAAACGTCTTTTGATGGCCAGAATCTTGCAGTTGAAACAGATGCAGCAAAAACGGTAAGACTCATGAAAATAAGTGATATGAAATGTTTTAGAGAAGTCATGTTTGCAAGATATGAAACTGTGGATTGTTTCGCATCAATCATTCAACATATCCAATAATATATACATATAATATATATCTTTGGGTCTCTGATTAATAATGACAGGATATGTTGATGATACCAGGAGCAGGAATTTAATTTTCATATCACTGCTTTTTCCGGAATTGATAAACTTTCTCGAAGCATTGAAACAAATTCTGAATAACACGTATTACACGATTACATTTTGTTAAGCAGCCATTGTCGCGATGTGTTGAAGTGAACTTGAACTTGAACAAGTTCTCTTCAACACAACATGTCGCAGCGACAATGGCTGCTTAACAAAATGTAATCCGTATTTTACCCCCTTTTGGGAAACCCATTTCAATTTGTTTGTACCGTATTTCACCATAATGTCGTTAGTTTTAAACTGGACCAAAGATATTTTTATGGACACATTTCCCTGTTAACCTGACGAGTATGCACTGATGATGACTTAACAGTCGAAAGCGCTCTGCTACGTATATTGAATAAATTATCTTGCACGAAATACAAATCTTTCCTCCTTTGGTATTGTTATATCAGGCAAACTGAGTTCTACCTTTCAAAAAATAATTACAGGCTTGAGTTATGGTGGCTTGAATTCAACTAGGTTGTTGGTTCCCCATCAGGCTGTAATTTCAGCATGATTGTCATTGACAGTGTTGGCCTGCTCCGTCGTAAGTTCTTATAGTTACTTGGGAAAAAATGGGAATTCTAGAAGATATTTATATCATATCATTGACAATGAAAAGTGAAGGAGTAACTTTGGTGCCGAAATTGATCCTTGTCAAACGCCGGAATTGATGGCAATGAATGGAATTATATTCAAAGAATATATTTAATTTCGATAATATTTTATCATAATTACAGAGTAATAATATGAAATTCAACTTCTTCCCGGTTTAACAAGCATCCTAGACTTTGCGTGACAATACCCACTGTTTCTGAAAGTGTGCCAATCCAGCCCTTCATGAGCAGTAACAGAAGTCAGAGGTACGTTAATATACTTTCCATTGAGGTTACTCTCAAAGCAGTTACGGAACCACCATGCTCCACCTGAAATATTGGGAATAGTACATACCTCGAAGCGTTTGTAGCTGGTTCACCTATTTCATATGTAAACTTTCCAAATAGGTCCTCCAGAAGGATTTCAATCAGACCCTCATTGTAAATCCAATTACCAATAGTTCTTGATTCATATCAATATTTCATTTTGAAGAGGAGATACGAGTGTTTTGAAATAGTATGGCATTTTTCAATCCCAATTAACAATAATCAGAACCTACATTAACTTATTGATTACTACCTGAGCAGACATGAAGTCAATAACGTGTATGCCCTCCTCGTATTTGAATTACAGCATTCAACAGCCGTATCATCGAATTGATCATATTTCACAATAAGTTTTGAGGAATTGCCTGAAATTCTCCTTAAAGGGCAAATCGTAGCTCTTGAAGGGTCCCTACAAGGCCAGACGAATTCAAATGAGCCTTTGGCGTTCAACCCTAAGATGCTCTATAGGTTCTGAATCTTTTCCTGAAAAGAATATATCGATGTGAATCTGAAACTGAGATCTGAAACCAATGTGTTAAGAATGGACGAAAAAGCATCCCACTTCAGTTTGAAACATGGTGAAGGAGAATGTTGAAGAATGTTGGTTATAAAAATAAAAATATCCATACTCTCTCGGAACACTTGTTTCTTGTCTTAAAAAGTGGTTATCGACGAGAATCAAAAACCATTGTGTTGAGAAGGGATTACACTTCAAACATAAATATAATGAAGCTGAGTTTAACCAGTCACATTTGCCACATGTCGTTAAGAAGTGAAGGGTGAGAGAGTAACTTTTGATTTTTCCTGTATAATGATCGAGCTATCAGCTTTTCTCAGGAACCAATAACCATTCCGAAATATAAGTATACATTGGTACTTCCAGATTAAACTTTCACGTTCACAGAAAACCTACTGCCACAGATACTGTCATTCCCTATTATTCCAACCACCCCTATTCTCATAAATTTGCATTTTCAACTGTTTCTTTCATGAAGCTTTTGCTCTGCCACTTTCTGATTCGGCTTTCAAAAGTGAAATTAATATCATGAAACGGATTGTATCGATGATCAATTTCCTCTAGATCAAATAATGAAAATTTATTTTAAATTCTACACAAAATTTAGATTATCATTAAATGTTATAACAGCACAGGATAAAGAACTTCCATCGTTACAATCTTCACATTATTCTGGCAGTTACTCTGTACAATTGAAAAGAAGTGTTTTTGAGTTTCAATTTCAATATTTTATTCAAAACTAACTCCATCCTTGAAACCTTATAAGTGAACACTGAAGACGAAATTCCTACTTCTGAAAAATCTGGAGCTAATAAACCTAATTGTAATGATTGCAACTCCTCCTATGTCGGTCAAACTGGGCGTAGTTTCGAAATTAGAGCCTCTGATATAATAGAATGATAAATAGGAATAGGAACATTGATAGTCTCAACACTTGTTCCTCTTTCTCAAACCATATAATTGAGTCCAATCATAATTCCAATATATCTGACAATATGGATTTTCTCCACATTTGAAATAAATTAGGCTCTAGGTTGAAACTATTGAAAATTCTAGAAATTCGAAAATGTATAAATAATCCCAATTTCACTTGTCTTAATGATCAAACCAATTTTTAGCGTAGCTTGATTTTTCGTACTCTCAAATTTCGATGATTATCACCAAAACATATTATAACCCATATTGGTCTATTGTTGTTCTTATTAGTTTTATCATATTTGACATTGACTGATGTCACTCGCCGTTGTCATGATTCTGTGTCATCACTTAATTCAATTTTCATTTGTATGTCATGTGTTATTATCATTTACTTGTGTTACTTGTTATTCTTTGTCATGCTTTACTTTTCATGTGATTTAGGATGTTTCTGGTTCTTCGAATTCCGTCTTACCTTCCATTTGCATTTTGCATAACCTGATGAATCTTACGTGAGAGAATTTTCTGATAAATTGTGCTAATGTTTTTCTTCATTAATATAATGCTGATCTGGTTTTACTGGACTTTTTCCAGATTTACAGTTACAGAGCGAACAATCTTGCAAAATTCCTGGTAGTCGGTTTTTTGCCGGTGAGTGCATATCATTCTCTAAATCCACTGATCGATTTGCATTATTATACGAAAAATATTCAATAGTACTAATTATACAAGCACTAATCAATATCCCGATTAAAGAATCTCAGATAGCTGAGATATAAAGAGGGCCACACAATTTACACACTTTGTACACACATAAACCTACTCAGTTAAAAATTCATAGTTGACCATCCCACTCATTTCAAAATTATTATACAGTGTGTCCCGCTTTTCATGAATACACCCTGATATCTCAGTTATTGATGATGCTATTCTTTTGAAATTTTAGTGGTGATTGTATGTTATAACAATGAAATATTTAGCAGAGTGAACAGTTTCCCAAATAAAGGCCTCTTTTGTACGCCTCAAAATCGCACGCCAATGGTGAATGAAACTGTTCATTCTGCTAAATACTTCCTAATTCTATAACATACAATCAGTACAGAAATTTCAAGAGAATCGCACTATTAATATCTGAGATATCAGGGTGTATTCATGAAAAGCGGGACACACTGTATATTCTGGCCAATCACAAGCCAAGAACAACTTGTATTATTGCTAAAACACTAGCTTTCATTCAATTCTAATTGGTATATCATCGTTAGTGTTCTTAACGATGTAACCATGGATAGTAAAGTGAATTATGTCAGTTTGACATGGAATAATGATAGCTGCAGATCTTTAAATGCACGAATTGATCGCTTTGCATGGTTATATAATTGGTTCATTCATAATACATGCTTTTTATGCTTCGTGGAATAGTCCAGCAAAATACCACTCTGTTCTGGATACTTTTCCATAACTATCATTGTTAGCTCAATGGTGTTGCCACACACCAATACCACTCGTCCTGGCAGACTCGTGGTGTTGCTCGGCAACACAATTTGGTGAACGACGGAGCGACAAAATTATTCAGATCATTTTCTCCGTATGATTTTGAGCCAATCAGAACGTTCAATTCAGCTTAGCTACCCTGTATTCCACAATCAGTTCAAATTTATATTCATTTCCATAGTAACCAACTCATATTTTTACATTATAACAAAGCGCTTCCTCAAATTTTGACGTTTGCTCGAAACTACTCAGAAAAATAATCGCATCGAATACAATTCGAACTTCAAAATCTTGAAGATTATACATCTAAAACTTCCTGCACAATGACCAATCGTGTCCGTTTAACAAAATAATCTCCTTCTCATCTGTTAGACTCTTTGTTATTAGCATCAAGTTATCGGTGTGTAACCCGGATATTTTGATGTACTTATAGTAGTACTACTGATTATTCAGAACATCGTGATATTACTGTTGGAAATATGATAGACATACCATACTTCACAGCACAGTTTTCAACGTAATTATCTTGGTCGAAATCCTTGGTGGTGAATTTTGAACCACGGTGGTATTCTAAAGAATCTCCAGCATCTCCACTATATCCAGAAAGGACATCCAATCCATATCCATCTGGTTCAGTGCCAATGCCAAAAGCCTTATAATGGGCATATTTGGTAACGTTATCTCTGTCGACGATTTCTACCAGAAGTTCGCTAGGTGTGAGACCTTGAAAAAGAGAATATTAAATACACATTTTCAAAATGAGTATAAAAGAAGGAATAATCTGTGTGTATTTGATTCTATGGTACCCAAATATAGTGGAAATGTGAAATACATAGTTATTTCAACTAGGAAAAAGCCAAATACTCAACACCGCTTCCACACCTGTTCATACAACACGAAGCCATGAGAACTGCTTACCGACTCAACGGTGCAAACCAGTGGGTCGGAACAGAAGCAGATCATGGACACTCCCTCATATGGAATGAGGCAAAGGAAAACTGTCACATTCTCATGATGAGGAGGGATAGTACCTTGCCAATTCTGAACTTCAACAAAGTCCCAAACACTGTCATCCCTACGAGGGAAGAATGAAATGACACAACACCTGGCGTGCCTCCTCCTAATGAGTCAATCTGGTACACGGATGGCTGGGGTATACAATGAAGGAACAGTTAAAGGAATTTCAGTTCCTTTGGGCGAATATGCCTCAGTGTTCTAGGCAGAAGTACTTGCAATACTCACCTGTGTCCAAGGAAACCTAATTATGAGAGGTCGTAGACCAATCACTATATGCTCGGACAGCAAAGCTGCAATACTGGCTTTGCAATCCAATAGGATCACATCCAATTTGGTGTCCGAGTGCAGAAAAGCCTTGGAAAACCTGGCGAAATCAAGAAAAGTCATCCTCATGTGGGTCCCGGGACATTCGGGAATACCCGGAAACGAGGAGGCAGACAGACTGGCGAAGATCGGTTCAGGACGGACCTCGGTCGGACCGGAACCAACCTTGAGAATACCAAATAGCCTGGCAATGTCCTCTATAGAGGAACAGCTGCGAAAGCAATTCCTCAAAATATAGCAGGACACACCAGGAATGAGACAATCGAAGCTCCACATAAAGAAACCTTCGAAGAGGCTCGCAAAAGAGGTTTTATTCCTAAACAGGCGAAACCTTAAAATGGTAGTGGGGCTCCTAACGGGGCACAACCACCTCAATAGACACCTAGAGCTTATTGGGATCAACGATGACCCCCTTTGCAGATGGTGCCTGGAAGGTGACGAAACGTCATCACATGTCCTCACTGAATGTCCAGCACTGACGCATCAGAGGAGGGCTGTCCTTGGCAACATAATTTTGAGGCCAGAGGACGTAAAAGAGATTCAGCTGAGGAAGCTGCTGAACTTCTCCAAGGCAGTCGGCATACCCAGCTGAATGTCGTAACATGTGGGCGCACAATGGGCCCGAATAAGGAGGCCCACGTGCAGGGGGTTCACCCGCCCACCAGTGCTTCGAAGAAGAAGAAGAAGAAGAAGAAGAAGAAGAAGAAGAAGAAGAAGAAGAAGAAGAAGAAGAAGAAGAAGAAGAAGAAGAAGAAGAAGAAGAAGAAGAAGAAGAAGAAGAAGAAGAAGAAGAAGAAGAAGAAGAAGAAGAAGAAGAAGAAGAAGAAGAAGAAGAAGAAGAAGAAGAAGAAGAAGAAGAAGAAGAAGAAGAAGAAGAAGAAGAAGAAGAAGAAGAAGAAGAAGAAGAAGAAGAAGATTTTGACTTCCTTAGCAAAAGTGTCAATGAGCACAAAGAAATCGGGTAACTAGTTTTCGAGATACAGGGGGTCAAAGATGAAAAGTGAAGCTTTCTGCTCAGAATTTTTAACAACTCCGGGAGTTGACAAGACGGCCATTTATTCATGGGATAACATGCCTGAATGATGGTACAATGTCATCTGGATCTCGTTTCCATTATAATTTATAATTTTACGTTTTGGGCTCTTCGACAGGGTGAACAGGGAAAAATCCAATTCGATTAATTTTAAACCAACCAGGGTAAGTTCTTTCATGAGAATTAAAGATCCAATTGAAGCCTGAATGAACTTCCTCAATCTCGATCGAAGTTTACTGAATTTTTTTCTCATATACAGGGTGGTTCGAAAATAGAGGTACGTCAATCCCTAGTTTTTTGAATCGGAAAGGGGATAGCATGTCATAGATATATCAGACATTCTTCAATGTTGAGAACTTCGCATACTCATTTCATATTTATAGGGTGAGTAAAAAGATACAGTCCAAGTTTATTGAAAAAAATGCGGGTCATTCAATGAATACCCTGTATTCTGCAATGGAATCGGTTAATTTCCTCGAATTTTTGATGTAATGTACGAATTGAGGACTCAGAGATATTGTCATCAATATTAGCATATAGGTCTCCGGACTCGTTTGTCGGCTATATACTTTTGAATGTTGCTTTGGCTTATTTTTCGGAACTAGAGCACAACAAAGGCCATCAACAGTCTTTATATATGTGATATAGTAGAGCTAACATTAATTTGTAATACCTATTATGACTTTAAAAAAACACCTGATGTATATGGAAAAAACTGCAAACTTTTTTCCAGTGGGAAAGAAACTAATTTATGAAAAGTGACATTTTATAACCTGTCAACAGAGATGACATGTCGAACTTCTTTCCCGTCTCAAAAAAATTAGTATATTGTGCTACAAGTGGGGAAAGTTCAACTTTTCTCACGAGTGTGGAAGTTTGTGGCACGAGCCTGAAGGGCGAGTGATGCAAACACACGAGTGAGAAAAGTACCCCCACATGTTGCACACTATACTTCTTCTACAACTGCACTCGTTCAAAGGATCCAAAGTAATGTAAATATTGGTATTCATTTTATGATGTGGCACTATGCCACATTGAATATTGTGACCAAAGAGTAGACGCCTTTCCTAGTTCCTCAAAGTATTTCAAAAGAGTACACATTCCGAAAAAAAAAATTATCTCTGTATTTATTTTAGATTTCATACATTTTTCGTATATAACAATTCATACTTTCTTCTTGAAATTTCCGAAAACGAATCCACCTTTTTCCATTATCTCTCTCTCTGGCGGTGTATTTACCAAAATTGTCACATCTCGATATATACATCATATTATTTATTATGAATGGTTGGAATTATATTTGATGGAAAATGCGATTTCTATCAAAAGCACTGATGAGAATTTGAAAAACTTCTTCTGACAGTTGTGACAACTATTCAAAGCTGAACAGCATCCAATTAAGTTTTGGGCGATTTTTGTTGATTCTCCATGGAAATGTACGTGGTGTTGGCAAAGTGCCGTGAGAAAAAATATGTCTCACAGTATGAGCAATACATGGTTTTGAAACTAAGAAGCTATGAGAAATGCGGTACTTTCCATAGCAGTAGTAGAAAATAGTATATTGTGCAACAAGTTGGGAAAGTTCATCTTTTCTCACGAGTGTAAAAGTTTGTGGCACGAGCTTGAAGGGCGAGTGATGCAAACAAACGAGTGAGAAAAGTACTTTTTCCCACATGTTGCACACTATACTTTTTCTACAACTACACTTATCCAAAGAATCCAATATTGTAACTTATTGGTATTCATTTTATAATGTATTGTGACCAAAGAGTAGACGCCTTCCATAGTTCCTCAAAGTATTTCAAAAAAGTACATTTTCTGAAAAACATTTCATTTCTGTTTTATTTTTAGATTCCATACTCTTTCCTTGAAATTTCCGGAAACGAATCCAACTTTCGCAGCTTTTTCCATTATCTCTGTCTGTGCCGTGAGACAAAATATTTCTCACAGTATGAGCAATACATGGTTTTGAAACTAAGTAAGCTATGAGAAATACGCTACTTTTCATATCAGTAGTAGAAAAATACTATATTGTGCAACAAGTGGGGAAAGTTCAACTTTTTTCACGAGTGTGAAAGTTTGTGGCAGGAGCCTGAAGGGCGAGTGATGCAAACACACGAGTGAGAAAAGTACTTTTCACCACTATGCCTCATTGAATATTGTGATCAAAGACGCCTTTCCTAGTTCTTCAAAGTATTTCAAAAAAGTACACTTTCCGAAAAAGATTATATTTCTATATTTTTTCTTATGATTCCATAAATTCTTCGTATATGCCAATTCACACTTTTTTCTCGGAAATTCCGCAAACAAATCCAATTTTCGCAGCTTTTTCCATTATCTCTGCCTCTGGCGGTGTATTTATCAAAATCGTCACATCTCGGTATATGCATCATATCATTTATTATGAATTGCTGGAATAATATTTGATGTAAACTGCGATTTTCACCAAAAGCACTAATGGGGACTACTCTACAGAATTTGAAAAACTTCTTCTGACAGTTGTGACAACTATTCAAAGCTGAACACCAGCCAATTGAGTTTTGGTCGATTTTCGTTGATTCTCCATGGAAATGTACAGTGTGACCCATTTAAGATGGAAGCACCCTTATAAAACTTACATTTTTCAACCGATTGGAATGATTTTTTTTTTGTTAGGTAGATATTCAAAAAGTCTATTAGGACACCAAATATCATGAATAAATCTCCATTTCCAGGGCCAACTAATCTGATTTTTCAAGGTCAAAAATCTAAAAAAATTACTAGCGATTTTTTTAGAAAAAATCTGACTACACCACTGGATTTGTGACATGTAAATAACGTTGAAATGCGTCAATCAATAAAAAAGTTATAAAGGAATGAAATTTGAAAAATATGCCGTTTAATCAACCCACCAATTCATGTTCAGGAATTTTATGAAAATTCTGTATACTCCACTGGATTCAGGATGTCTTGAAATATTACTGATCACAGTTTCATCGAAATCTGTTCAGTAATAAAAATTGATGGGTTGATTAAACGGCATATTTTTCAAATTTCATTCCTTTATAACTTTTTTATTGATTGACGCATTTCAACGTAATTTACATGTTACCCATTTGAAAATGTCACAAATCCAGTGGTGTAGTCAGATTTTTTCTTAAAAAATCGCTAGTAATTTTTTTAGATTTTTAACCTTGAAAAATCAGATTAGTTGGCCCTGGAAATGGAGATTTATTCATGATATTTGGTGTCCTAATAGACTTTTTGAATATCTACCTAACAAAAAAAAAATCATTCCAATCGGTTGAAAAATGTAAGTTTTATAAGGGTGCTTCCATCTTAAATGGGTCACACTATATGTGGTGTTGGCAAAGTGCCGTGAGAAATAGTGTATTACACACCGAGGTGGGAAGTGATTCATTCCTGTCGTGAGATTAGTTAGTTAGCTATAATTTCGAGACAGGAATGAAACTTTCTTTCCGAGATTTGTGTACTATTTCATTTACAACCATCATATTTCGATCAAAGTTAATGAATCTATGTTTCGTTCTGATCATACCTGAATTATTACATGAGTGAGGGCGGGAAGTAGAGGTGTGTAATGTGACACTTCCCAACCATCTATGACGTTAGTATCGACAACATTACATATATGGTTGTAAATAATAGTATATTCTTCAACGAGCGTATAACGATAGCTATTATTCCCGAGGATATGATTCCGAAACGAGCCGTAGGCGAGTTTCGGAATTATCCGAGAGAATAATATAGCTATTATACGCGAGTTGAAGACTTTACTTTCTCTACGACTATACGATAGTCAGAAATTTAATGTAATCTAATTATTGTTTATGAAAATAATATACTTGATGTATGAATTTTAATGATATTATAATACAATTGACAGGAATCTTTAATATTCAACGAACTCAATGATGAAACAACACAATAATTATTAGGTCAGTAAATTATGTTTCTCGTACTTAGTGACTAAATTTTTAGTGATATTCTCACAATTCGTGAAATTTGATGTCGGTGTTGCATTCAAATCAACACTGACATTTTTATTCATATTGTTAGTTGATGTTTTTCCAGATATCAAAGTTAAAACTTGAAAGACTCTATGAGTCAATCTGACATTCGCGAAAGTCAAGCCGTGACATTACCCGTAAAATGAAGCAGAGCCTTCTTGAGAAATTTGTTTGGTAGATTTGCTGGTTTTTCATTAGTCTAACCATAGATTAACGACTCGTTAATCTATGGTCTAACCTTTTCAGTTGCTGTGGATCCTGAAAATTCTGAATCTGTGATTGGTCGAGTGCCGTTGAATAATGAGTTGGGATCCACGGTGTCTTGGAATCATCTTCATTCATCAATTACTAACTTATATGTAATCAATGTAGAATACGATAGTCGTAGAGAAAAATATTTCTCACAGTATGAGCAATACATGGTTTTGAAACTATAAGTAAGCTATGAGATTTGCGCTACTTTTTATAGCAGTAGTAGAAAAAATATTAATATGTATCATGAAAACGTGAAGGCTTTTTTTTTCTCATAGTCATCAGAATTAACTATAGAAAGTATTATTCTACAGAATGCTGAATCTTACCTGTTAACCATCGAATATGTTCAAGGCCTATCCAAAATTCTCCCAGAAGGTCACCAAATCCTGTCTTGTACTCCCACCATCCGAGAAAAAAATCAACTGATCCATCAAATCGTTTTTGGATGTGAGTCCAACCTCCACCTTTTATTTCCATATCGCATAGAACCATGAATGGTTCCTTGAGTCTGTCTGGTTGGATTTGGTATACACCAGATACGTTATTACCTAAGATCAATGTTGCGCATCAGTTTGTGAATGTATTTATTAATGTTGATTGAAATTATAACTGACAGAATGAATAATCTAGTCGTGACTGACCATATTCAAGTACTTCCAAGCAATTTTTAGGTATCATTTTCCTCATCCTCCTCTCTTCTTTCGACTCAATTTTGAATGACGATTCTGTGATTATTGGTTTGCTTACTCCAACTTTGGTGAGATATAGATCACCATCCGATTTCTGTAGAGTCTTGTTATACAAACTAGAAGCAAATTCATATTCCTATGAGGAGAGTTTGAAGGTTCAATCATGGGTGCAGATGAAAATTATCGAATATATGCATATTAGTAAATGTTAATATCTTGATTATATCATTTGTCGCGCAACCATTGTTGGCAAGGCACATATTATATTACCTTGTTATTTCTTTTAGCGTTTCCAGAATTGCTTCATCATATTTGAGTTCACTGCTTCTTATTTTCTCGATTTCGTCCAGTTTATTTCTCAAGTCTTCTAGGGTGGCATAAATATCATTGTTTTCAATTTCTTCGGCACTTTTATTTGCATGTTCAATTCGTACATTCTTCTCAATTGGATCTTGTGCCATACTTTTAAACGATTGGTTCCCTTTTTATTGAAGAAAATTAAAATGATATATCATGGACTATTATGATTTTGAATCAGAACGTTTAATTGAGTTGAGTTAGCTTGAATAATTTCGAATATACGTGGATATACATAGAGTAACTCTACCAATCAGAAATTCAGAATTATTTTCGAATTACCTCCGGAATTATACGAACATTATTCTGGGAGACCCTGTATAGATTGGTTCAATAATCGTGTGTCACATTTGAGCCTAAATTGTTTTCTCAATTATAACTATGGGGAACACACAAATCACCAGAATGTAAGATCGCAGATCCGTAATCCATCAGAATATACATTTTCAAACCAGTAACTTAACAGAACAATATTTTATAAGAATCGTATTTATCTCTACTGTAGATGCACAGAACCGCAATCCCTCAAACCGTATTTTGTATACTGTACATGAGCATACCAGACAATAACAGATTGCAAATGCGCAGATGTGTATTTTTCTATAATAGCAATATCGCAGATCCGCAAATATACAGAATCGAAAACTAACAAACCAACATCACAGCGGAATGATATTTCGTCAGAATCATAACAACACAGACCGTAATTCGTCAGAATCGCAGAATGACAGACCGCACATTAGCAGACCGTATTTTGTCAGAATCGAAATACAACAGACCGTTTATCGACAGAATAGTAAAATGTCAGAACCGTACATTGACAGAATAGCAAAAAATCAGAACAGCATATTCACAGAATCTCAAAATATCAGAACTGTAAATTGAAAGAATCGTAAAATGCTAAAACCGTACATCGACAGACTCGTAATACAACAGACCGTATTCCATCAGAATCATATTATATCAGAACGTACAATGACAGAATGTACTTCATCAGACTGTAATGTCATATACTGTATTGTGATAGAGTCGTAAACTATCAGAACCGTAATTCAGCAGAATAGTAAAATGTTAGATCCGTAAAATAACAGAATCGTGAAAATTCAGAACCGTACATCGACAGAATCGTGAAATATAGGAACTGTACGTCAGCAGAACCGTAAAAAATCAAAACCGTACATTGGCAGAATCGGAATCCATCAGAATGTAATGCAGCAGAACCGTAAAATGACAGACTGCAGAGAGGCCTACCAGCCACGCGCAGAGCGAACGCCGGTCACAGTGTTGCCTGCTCTCACGTCATGTGGGGATTCTACGTATACTTTCAGTTCGACCTGCTTTTATGTTCCAATTGCTCTTGTACACTCGAGAATAAGATCGTTCACATGATATGAAGTGATGAATGACCACATTTCAATATGAAATATATGAACGTCACCCAACTTTTTTGCTATATGGAGAAGAAAGTGTTTATTTGAAGTATTTTCTTAAAAACTACAATTCCTTGAAGTAAGTTGAGAGAAGGGTTCGAGAAATAGGTGTTTGGGATGTTACAAGTGTTTGGGATCACACGTTTAAAAGGTAAGGCCCCCGCGTCATTCCTTGCTCGCACAAGACTTTCGAAGACTTCTGAGGGTTGCTCGTAAGGGGGCAACCGAATGACGGATAGAACAATTTTACAATTTTTTTTTACAACAAACTTTGGAGTTTTCAAAGTTTGATTATAGATATACAAGATATTGGATGTTATTTATATGAATCTATGTCATACCCAAATTCATTCATTTTGCATTTTGTACCCATGTTTCTAGAAAAAGGAAGAAGGTGATACGAAACTAGATTGAAATCGAAGTTCAGCTACGGAATTTAGTTTCGAGAATTCTTTATTAACGATAATTAGTGCGGTGCTGTAGATAGGGGTTGATGAAAAAATGCTTATACATACATACATACATATGGAAGCCATTGAATAAACGTTCTTGTAAAACTCACTATGGAAGCTATTAAATAAACGTTCTTGTGAATCCCACGTGTCAAGGGATACTCTTCAGGGTAATCCAAGTTGAGTGTCAGCAGCCATCGATGACTTTGTTATTATTGATGATAGAAAATTGTTCAAGGAACCAAACCATTAGTCTTTATATGTCAGAAGAAAATATCAACAGAGGAACTAAAATATAAAAAAAAAACATTGAAAGAGAATGCCAATTCTCAATTTCATATAATTTTTATTTTCATGTTCCCTTCTGGATGTTGAACAGATATAAATAAATCAATATTCGACGTGGCAAATAATCAGAGAAGTAGTTGTTGTCTGTTGTATATTCAGAATGATATTATGTGCATATATATTTTTATTTGAAGGAAAATGCAAATTCTCAACTTCAGAAGAGTTCATCTTCAAATTATTATCGTGTGTGTTCATAAGATATAATTAAATGTTCGTCGTAACATATTGCCAGGAAGCGATTTTACTAAATTAAATATACTGCACGCTAGCACAAACCACGCCCACCATAATACGTCATATCTCCAAACATTACCGATATACTCGGAGTCAGCACATCGCACTAAATATACTGTGCTCGAACGCAAGAATACACTTTTTATGATTTTGACACGAATTCGACTGAAGCTCTCTCGTTGTCAATCTCTTGTACGCAGTAAATTCATACACCCAAATGGTCTACTGGTTAGCGCTGTCGACTTTCAGTCTGAAGGTCCATGGTTCGAATCGCTGTGAACTTGAACTTTTTTTTGCAACTTTTTTGTTTTTTTACTTCATTCTGGTTTTCCTTTTTTATAAAATATTTGAAGTCAAATAGGTTAGTGCGTTTAGGATAAACAGTCTCATTTTATTCAATATTGTTGAAAGAACTCAACTTTTGAAATATATTATTAATCAATGTGTTTCTACACTCCATTCGGTTTTCCTTCCACAAATATTGCAATCAGGGATAGGTTAGTTCGTTAAGGATAAATATTTTCTGAGTTTTGCCTAAGTACTTCGAAGATGAGATATTACGGTCGGCGTGGTTTGTGCTAGCGTAGGTACAGTATATTTAGTAAAATCGCAGCCAGGAAAGTAGTTGTTTTCTGTTGAATATACTGAGAATGAATTGATAATTTCATCACATACCGAATGCGAATTCTCTATGTATTTCTTTATATCTGAATAAACAGGTGCGGAAAAGTATGACTTTCGGCATTTGTTAGGTAAACTACATTTTCGTCTAAACTCGACAATGCGAAGATCAATTATTGTTTTATTGATTGTTCTATCTCAGATTCACAGAGGCTGTTCAAAAAACTGCTTAGGAACTAGTGATGGGTTCAGTTTTGACGAGTGGATATGGTCAATATCATGGAAAATTAGTCTTCAAGTTCTGAATGGTTGGAGATGACATTTCGAGAATTACACAGATTAATATTAGCTTTGAGTATTCACACTCAGTTTTCATTCGTAGGTTACCCGATTTCATCTTCGAATTTTGTCCGCCCTATATCCTATTTTTATCTGGTGGCGCCTATGGTCCAAGGTCACCTGATAAATTAAAGAAAATTATGTTGGAGTAGTTGCTGTTTCCAAAAATGTTGTATCTTTGATGATCACGGAGTTCACATAGTCGATATATTAACATCAAACTAATTCACCTAGTTGGTGGTGCCACACTCACTTACTCCTTGACATCATTGGAACAACGGCGACCTCTCACTTGTTCATGAAAACTTCTACGGAAAATCTTCTTCAAACGTTCGGTTATCATTCTATCACTAGCAATACCATGCAGACAGACGAACTCGACAAAAAGCTTAGTACAGCACATCTATTTGTAGTCTACCTCGATATTTGTCGAACAACTCTATCAAAACTTCTTAGAAGTATTCCCAAAAACTTCCAAAAGTTTTAATAAATTGGGATATTGCCTTTCGTGAGACCAACAAAAATTTGCACTTTCTGCCCCAAATCATTCCCTCTTTCAGTCTGAACGGTACACATAATATGTACCACAGATGTTGCAAGAATTCTGAGTCACTTTATTCGTTTCAAGCAAGCAGAAAATACACCAATCCGATATTATAAGGTTATGTTCTCGATAATTATTAATGGGACTGTGTATATTTCGTGAAATTTTGATGTTTCTTTGAAAAATATTTGTGATTGTTCTGTCATATAAACTTTGCGAAAACGTGTGGTCTATAAGGTATGTAATAGTTGATCACATATGAATAATTTCAATATGGTACACATATGTACCACTCGGTTTTTATTGTGTTATAGATAGGTACCGACAGTTTTGTAATTTTCGTTCTTTTAGAACAAAAAAATTGAGTAGACGTCCGTTGACCGAGAAAGAGTTAGAAGTTTTTAACCCCAAGAACATTTTATTCAAGTAAATGGTATTCAGAACCGGAATAAATGTATGATCGACCACACAATGAGTTTCACTGATATAGCGAATCACTTCTTCGTATACCTAACAACCAGTATCTGAGGTCTGAGGATTTGGACCTCTTAGGCAACCCGTAATTCGTTGAATGGTACGCGGGGTGGAACGTTTCCAGGCGAAACGCATCCACACATTCACAATCTGAAGACAAGCAAAACAGCAGATCTCTTGCAAAAAGTCTTCTATTTATCGAGTAACCCAATCATGGAGTATAACTTGATGGAACCTTGAAATTATATTATATCCCAGCGTAAGCGTAATATATCAATCAACGATTATATGCATCGTTCTTACATGTGTTTTGAAGATTTACGATACTCTCCATTGGTCGAGAGAAAAAATATTGGGATGAATGTCAAAAAAATTTAATTTCTTGTTTTCTCTATTAGGTTGATATATTACAACTATGATAGGAGATAGGGAAATGAGTTTTTTTTCCATATTATAGAGAAAACATTCGACTACATTTTGATATAGGTATATTTTTTTTTTGAAATTTGGGAATATGTTAAAAATTTAAAAGAATAAGAGGAAAACACTTTTTCATCACATCTCAGTTTGCTTCAACACCCAATAAATTGCTTATTCGACCAATGAACGATACTTTTTTTTCACATCAAAAACTGCGGAAATTCATAACGATCATTTCGTATCGATTATATGAAGATCTATC